ACGCGCCCTATAGCGAAAATCTCTCCAAAAAAAAAAAAAAAAAAGAAATTGTCTTGAGACGCCTCAAGTTTCACTCTGATTTAAAGGGTCAGTGTTAGAGGGATCTCTCATCGTAGCTGGTACTTTTTGTTTTGGCTTGACTCTTCCCTCACCATTACCCAGTTTCCAATCAGGTCTTTTGACCAGGACAGTGACCTTTTGGACATTTGGCCTATTTGAGTCAACAAGACGTCCCTAGTTTTTCCTCCTGTCTGGGTCTCTGTCTCAGCCCCTTGCCCCTACCCTAGTCAAGTCCAGAGTTGAGCAAAAGGTCCGTGGGGCAGGGAGCTCCCAGATCTACTTGGATCCTCCAATGTCAGGTTCTTTTCAGATCTGCAGATTGGCTGCCAGAAAACCTTTCCTCAGAAAACCTTTCCTCTCAGAGATCAGCTCCTTGCCCGAAGATGGGGCCTGGCCAGTGTCCCTCCTCCCTCCTGCCTTTTTTTACGCTCTAAGTCATTTCATGTCTTTGCAGCACTCCACAGTCTGCATCTGTGGGAGTCTTTCCTAGCCTACCTCCTACTGAACTATTTGAATGTTACTCCTTCAACTTTAACTGTCAAATAGAGGAAGTCAGTGAAGAGGGACTCTCCGAATTTGGGAGGAAAAGACTATACCATCACCAGTGTCCTTGAAAAATACCATAAATAAGTCATTTTAATTATATTCTCCTTTTACCAATAACAACCGTCTGAAGTCTTATCTTCAATAATACTCTCACATGACAGCAGATAAGATTCCCTAGCCTTGTTGTTTTGGGAAGATTATGTTTCGTTTCATGTTTAATTGACAAGCTATACTTACCGTGGCCATCGCTAGGGAGATAGGCAAGCCGCCCAATTTTGAAGAGATGATAGAGGGTTTGGGAATAGAACAAAGGCTACTCGATGGCAAATGTCCTTGTCCTTTGGGCTGAGGTATTCCTGTTCCATCTTCAGTTTCATCCGCAGATATATGGTTGCCTTCATAATTCTGTATCAAATGCCATCCCCCCAAAAACAAAGCATATCTGGTGATGACCTTGTTTCACATTTTTCTTCCTCTCTGAAATACCAGTGATCAGAAAATGTTGTCTCGCTCTTAAAGATATCTAAAAATTGTGATAAATAGCAATGAAAGAGGTGGAAAAATCCCAGTGTCTTTGTCAAAGGGGTTTCTCCTAAGTTTTATGTGACTCAGAGAGGTTAAATGTAACTATGGAAACATAATTAATGCTATCAAGACCTTGACTTCAAATTATGTTTAGAGAATAATGTAAATGTCACTGTGTCTTGTTTTGAGAAGACAACATTTTATAAACACGAAATGAATCTTTTCAGTCTATAGAAGCTATTTCTGACTATGTTATTAACTGACAATAAATGAAACCAGGTTATCTCTTTTTAATTCCCTCAGTTCCCAGTCCCCAATAAGTGAGTATAATCATTTTCTTCTTTAACAAATTCACCTCTTGGGCCCAGCAGTTGGCATAATGGCTATGTGGCTGGACTCCCATGTGGTCGACTGTGGTTTGAGTCCCAGACCCGGTGGCTTAAACTCACGCCAGGTATGTACATGTGTGCCCAAGGTCCTGAGAGACGAATGGAGGAGAAGGGATTGCAGCATGGCCATCCCCCCTGGAGGGTGATCTCTTGCTTTCTGTCTTTCTCTCTCTGTGTTTCTGGCAAGTGCACATGCCCTATAGCAAAAATCTCTCCAAAAGAAAAAGAAAATTCACCCCTATGGGCTGGCAAGTAGCGTGGTGGTTAAGGGTGCTTGACTCTCACATGGCCGACTGCAGTTTGAGTCCTGGACCTGGAGGCTTGCTTTCTCCCTTTCCCTTTCTTCTCTAACTCTCTCGCTCTGTCCCTCTCTGGTCAAATTTTTAAAATAAATAAGTAAATAAATATAAAGAAAGTCATTCTTTTAAAAAGTTCACCCCTTATCTTTACAATTTTCATTTTTACTTTTCTTGATGCATTCTTCTGACATTTCAATGTAAGTCAACATCAATTCTTCTTCACATTTACTTAACTTCTCTACTGATGTCATGAGACAGATCTGCCCTATGAGTAGCTGAAACATGAGGGAAACTGCCTCCTTAGTTTTCTGTATTCCTAGAAGCAAAGATGTTTTCTTATCTCATAAACACAGCAACCAAGTCACAGGCTACCGATGGGATAAGATGCATTTTGTAAATCAAACAGAAAACCTTTCCATTTGTGCCAATGAGCTTCCTTGAGTAAAGCATAACTTGACATTTATTTATAGTTTTCCTTTCAAAGGTTGTTTTATCTCCTGAATGTTCTATCCCCCTAAATGGTCGCTATCTCCAAGTTAATACTTCCAGGACTAAAATAGAATCATTATCTCGCTGATTCTAATTTAGACTATAGTTAAAAGAGTTTCAACACAAATAAGGTTTTTGATCACAGGATACTTGTAGCAAGAGGCTGTCGTGTTATTGTTAAAATATAACAATTCCAGTTGTTTAATCGTATATACCAGTGTTAGGAAAATCACCCTAATATTTTGTGTTGTGTTTGCTCAGTGATTGAAATAAGGTCTGAAATATACAGTCTATCACCTCTAACCTTTTCAGGTTGCACAAGGTTCAAATATCTTTCATCTAAGATTGTACAACAGATTTGAAAATACCTTTTTAATAGCTGAATCCAGTTACCTTTCATTTATTTGAAGATGGTTAAGGAAAACAATTTCTCAGAAGCTAGATAAAGATAACTATGTTCAAAACTGCCTTTCTTCGGGGACACTGAAGCACTTGGTTGTCAGAATCTAGTGTAATTTTACAAGTGTAGAAACTCAAGATTCTAATATTACTTTTTTCTAAAATAATAACCATATGGTGTTCTTAATGATGAAAAGTAGCTTTTAAAAGTAGGAAGAGAAATTCATTTAAAAAAAAAAAAAAAGCCCAAGGAAAAAAAACCTTGCACAGGCTTTCTAGTTTTATGTGTTCACGCGTTAAATGCCAATGCCGGAGTGACATTATGTGCATTGACTAAATGCAGATTATGCTGTTAATGTGATTGTTTGAAGAAGCAACCAGAGGAAAACACATTGGCTTTAAGAAAAGTAATTACCTGGGGAGTTGTATTACTGGTTCCCAACCTATAAATATAAAAGAAAACATCAAATGAATTACTCACTCCATTCAAACCTCACATCAGCAAACCTCCCCAAATTCCAACCTTGCTAGAAAGTTGTCTTCCTACAAATACTTGCACCTGAAGCCTTTTAAATGTAACTCTACAATGGAAACCTCTCATGTAGCAAGCATAAAAGTTGATTACTCAAACACCTACATCCCACAGTTTCTAGCAAAATGAGAAAATGAGATCTTACCCATGGTAACTAAAGATGCCTCTCCATTTCTCAAGAAATAAAATTTCTTTTGTGATCTCTTCTAAATCCAGCACTTGGGAGCTGTGCTCCTGGTCTAAGACTTCCATATCGTTTTGGGTAATGTGATGAATTGGATGAAGGCAGTTGTGAAGATGGGAGAGAGAGATCTGGCTGTGGAGTAGCGAAATGCCACACAGACAGCCAGATGAAGGAGGCCACCCCTACTTCTGACCAGCAAGGAGGTCATACCACACGGTCATGCTGCCCAGGTCTCCCTGTAAGCCCCTGCTATCAGATCATGATTAAATTTTTATTAGACAGAGACTACTTTGTGTATTTTCGTTCACTGTAGAGGCACCATGAATGTTTAATCCAAGACACAGATTTATAAACAAAGAGATCGCAATTACTTATCTGTATCAGAGCACCAGAGATAATTTAATTGATGAGCGATACCAGGCTGGTGAAATGTGATAGTTCTTTATGCTCTGACACCTCCCTGGAAGTGTTTATGGAACAGAAATAAGTAACCAAAGTGGGTAAAAGCTATCCTGCAGACTTCAAAAAACAATATTGACCATCAACTGTTGGATAATATAGTGTAATTTGAATGAAGACACTGGCCAATGAGTGTCCGGTGTAGAGATTAGTACATAGAAATCTTGCACAGGTAAAGGGTAAAGAAGAACTAGTCTAATTTGTTTCAGGGAGAAATCTGAAAACTTATCTCTTTCTTTTTTTCTTTTTCTTTTTTTTCTTTTTTTGGAGAGTTTTTTTGCTATAGGGTGCATGCACTCGCCAGAAAGAGAGAGACAGAGAGACAGAAAGTGAGAAATTGCCCCCCAGGGGGGATAGCCACACCGCAATCCCTTCTCCATTCTCCTCTCGGGATCCTGGACATGCACGCACACACAACCAGCGTAGAGAGGTTAAATGTAACTATGGAAACATAATTAATGCTATCAAGACCTTGACTTCACATTATGTTTAGAGAATAATGTAAATGTCACTGTGTCTTGTTTTGAGAAGACAACATTTTATAAACACGAAATGAATCTTTTCAGTCTATAGAAGCTATTTCTGACTATGTTATTAACTGACAATAAATGAAACCAGGTTATCTCTTTTTAATTCCCTCAGTTCCCAGTCCCCAATAAGTGAGTATAATCATTTTCTTCTTTAACAAATTCACCTCTTGGGCCCAGCAGTTGGCATAATGGCTATGTGGCTGGACTCCCATGTGGTCGACTGTGGTTTGAGTCCCAGACCCGGTGGCTTAAACTCACGCCAGGTATGTACATGTGTGCCCAAGGTCCTGAGAGACGAATGGAGGAGAAGGGATTGCAGCATGGCCATCCCCCCTGGAGGGTGATCTCTTGCTTTCTGTCTTTCTCTCTCTGTGTTTCTGGCAAGTGCACATGCCCTATAGCAAAAATCTCTCCAAAAGAAAAAGAAAATTCACCCCTATGGGCTGGCAAGTAGCGTGGTGGTTAAGGGTGCTTGACTCTCACATGGCCGACTGCAGTTTGAGTCCTGGACCTGGAGGCTTGCTTTCTCCCTTTCCCTTTCTTCTCTAACTCTCTCGCTCTGTCCCTCTCTGGTCAAATTTTTAAAATAAATAAGTAAATAAATATAAAGAAAGTCATTCTTTTAAAAAGTTCACCCCTTATCTTTACAATTTTCATTTTTACTTTTCTTGATGCATTCTTCTGACATTTCAATGTAAGTCAACATCAATTCTTCTTCACATTTACTTAACTTCTCTACTGATGTCATGAGACAGATCTGCCCTATGAGTAGCTGAAACATGAGGGAAACTGCCTCCTTAGTTTTCTGTATTCCTAGAAGCAAAGATGTTTTCTTATCTCATAAACACAGCAACCAAGTCACAGGCTACCGATGGGATAAGATGCATTTTGTAAATCAAACAGAAAACCTTTCCATTTGTGCCAATGAGCTTCCTTGAGTAAAGCATAACTTGACATTTATTTATAGTTTTCCTTTCAAAGGTTGTTTTATCTCCTGAATGTTCTATCCCCCTAAATGGTCGCTATCTCCAAGTTAATACTTCCAGGACTAAAATAGAATCATTATCTCGCTGATTCTAATTTAGACTATAGTTAAAAGAGTTTCAACACAAATAAGGTTTTTGATCACAGGATACTTGTAGCAAGAGGCTGTCGTGTTATTGTTAAAATATAACAATTCCAGTTGTTTAATCGTATATACCAGTGTTAGGAAAATCACCCTAATATTTTGTGTTGTGTTTGCTCAGTGATTGAAATAAGGTCTGAAATATACAGTCTATCACCTCTAACCTTTTCAGGTTGCACAAGGTTCAAATATCTTTCATCTAAGATTGTACAACAGATTTGAAAATACCTTTTTAATAGCTGAATCCAGTTACCTTTCATTTATTTGAAGATGGTTAAGGAAAACAATTTCTCAGAAGCTAGATAAAGATAACTATGTTCAAAACTGCCTTTCTTCGGGGACACTGAAGCACTTGGTTGTCAGAATCTAGTGTAATTTTACAAGTGTAGAAACTCAAGATTCTAATATTACTTTTTTCTAAAATAATAACCATATGGTGTTCTTAATGATGAAAAGTAGCTTTTAAAAGTAGGAAGAGAAATTCATTTAAAAAAAAAAAAAAGCCCAAGGAAAAAAAACCTTGCACAGGCTTTCTAGTTTTATGTGTTCACGCGTTAAATGCCAATGCCGGAGTGACATTATGTGCATTGACTAAATGCAGATTATGCTGTTAATGTGATTGTTTGAAGAAGCAACCAGAGGAAAACACATTGGCTTTAAGAAAAGTAATTACCTGGGGAGTTGTATTACTGGTTCCCAACCTATAAATATAAAAGAAAACATCAAATGAATTACTCACTCCATTCAAACCTCACATCAGCAAACCTCCCCAAATTCCAACCTTGCTAGAAAGTTGTCTTCCTACAAATACTTGCACCTGAAGCCTTTTAAATGTAACTCTACAATGGAAACCTCTCATGTAGCAAGCATAAAAGTTGATTACTCAAACACCTACATCCCACAGTTTCTAGCAAAATGAGAAAATGAGATCTTACCCATGGTAACTAAAGATGCCTCTCCATTTCTCAAGAAATAAAATTTCTTTTGTGATCTCTTCTAAATCCAGCACTTGGGAGCTGTGCTCCTGGTCTAAGACTTCCATATCGTTTTGGGTAATGTGATGAATTGGATGAAGGCAGTTGTGAAGATGGGAGAGAGAGATCTGGCTGTGGAGTAGCGAAATGCCACACAGACAGCCAGATGAAGGAGGCCACCCCTACTTCTGACCAGCAAGGAGGTCATCCATATGGTGTTCTTAATGATGAAAAGTAGCTTTTAAAAGTAGGAAGAGAAATTCATTTAAAAAAAAAAAAAAAGCCCAAGGAAAAAAAACCTTGCACAGGCTTTCTAGTTTTATGTGTTCACGCGTTAAATGCCAATGCCGGAGTGACATTATGTGCATTGACTAAATGCAGATTATGCTGTTAATGTGATTGTTTGAAGAAGCAACCAGAGGAAAACACATTGGCTTTAAGAAAAGTAATTACCTGGGGAGTTGTATTACTGGTTCCCAACCTATAAATATAAAAGAAAACATCAAATGAATTACTCACTCCATTCAAACCTCACATCAGCAAACCTCCCCAAATTCCAACCTTGCTAGAAAGTTGTCTTCCTACAAATACTTGCACCTGAAGCCTTTTAAATGTAACTCTACAATGGAAACCTCTCATGTAGCAAGCATAAAAGTTGATTACTCAAACACCTACATCCCACAGTTTCTAGCAAAATGAGAAAATGAGATCTTACCCATGGTAACTAAAGATGCCTCTCCATTTCTCAAGAAATAAAATTTCTTTTGTGATCTCTTCTAAATCCAGCACTTGGGAGCTGTGCTCCTGGTCTAAGACTTCCATATCGTTTTGGGTAATGTGATGAATTGGATGAAGGCAGTTGTGAAGATGGGAGAGAGAGATCTGGCTGTGGAGTAGCGAAATGCCACACAGACAGCCAGATGAAGGAGGCCACCCCTACTTCTGACCAGCAAGGAGGTCATACCACACGGTCATGCTGCCCAGGTCTCCCTGTAAGCCCCTGCTATCAGATCATGATTAAATTTTTATTAGACAGAGACTACTTTGTGTATTTTCGTTCACTGTAGAGGCACCATGAATGTTTAATCCAAGACACAGATTTATAAACAAAGAGATCGCAATTACTTATCTGTATCAGAGCACCAGAGATAATTTAATTGATGAGCGATACCAGGCTGGTGAAATGTGATAGTTCTTTATGCTCTGACACCTCCCTGGAAGTGTTTATGGAACAGAAATAAGTAACCAAAGTGGGTAAAAGCTATCCTGCAGACTTCAAAAAACAATATTGACCATCAACTGTTGGATAATATAGTGTAATTTGAATGAAGACACTGGCCAATGAGTGTCCGGTGTAGAGATTAGTACATAGAAATCTTGCACAGGTAAAGGGTAAAGAAGAACTAGTCTAATTTGTTTCAGGGAGAAATCTGAAAACTTATCTCTTTCTTTTTTTCTTTTTCTTTTTTTTCTTTTTTTGGAGAGTTTTTTTGCTATAGGGTGCATGCACTCGCCAGAAAGAGAGAGACAGAGAGACAGAAAGTGAGAAATTGCCCCCCAGGGGGGATAGCCACACCGCAATCCCTTCTCCATTCTCCTCTCGGGATCCTGGACATGCACGCACACACAACCAGCGTGAGTTGAAGCCACCTGGTCCAGTACCCAAACTGCGGTTGACTACATGGGAGTCCAGCGACATAGCCATTACTCTAACTGCTGGTCCCAAAGCTTCTCTCTTTCCACTTGACAAATGAATTATAGCTGCAATAGCTAGCATAATAAAGAATATTGATGGTTTTGATAGCTAATTTTATGTGTCAGTTTGGCTAGGCTAACTGCATGCTATCTAGCTAAACACCAGTCTAGATATTTCTATGTAGGTTTTTGTTTTGTTTTGTTTTAGAGATATTTTGCTATAGGGCATGTGCCCTAGCTGGAGAGACAAGAAGACACAAAGTGAGAAATCACCCCTTTGGCGAATGGTCACATCACAGTCCCCTTCTCCTCCATTCTCCTCTCAGAATTTTCGGGCATGCACGCACATG